GGAAAATTTGTAAGAACTAATCCATCCCCTCAATAATGCAAAACTTCCTTGAAAGATTAATTAACATTCTGCAAATTCACCGTTATTTCCAATTTGATATATAATTTTAATCAATAAATATAGGATACGAAATTATCTCTTTATCAAGAGATGCGCAATATTAAAAACCAACTCGAAAATCCAAAAGACTCGATCAAACAACTCGAACCAACTTTGCTAAAGGATCCGTTATTTAACCGCACATCAGATTGTCGTGGTAAATTAAAACAAATCGTAAAAAAAGTCTATAAGGGTTTCATCGAAGTAGCGTGCAAATCACGTAATCCCGAGGATCAAAGGTTTCACCGTGAGTTATTAATTTTAGAAAAACTGGATGAATGTCAGTACGTTGAAAAATTTTATGGGATTTCCAAGTATAATGGTAAAGAAGTTATGATTTTCGAGTGGGCAGAAATGGGCAATTTGAAAGAGGTCTATAATAAAGAATGCATTTCTTGGAATTTAAAAGCTCGAATCGTATTTGAGATTTGCAAAGGGATCATATTTTTGGACTCTGTTGGCGTTTTTCACAATGATATTCGATGTGAGAATATAATGGTAGGATACACAAAATATTTTTTTGTGCACATATAATCTACCTTTTGTCAAATTTAAAACTAGTGTATCATTATTCGATGTTGCGTAGATGTCACGCTTTATGGAACCGAAACTCGCCAATTTTCATTTTGCCATACTGCATAATGAGACAAATATAGCAATAAATCAGCCAATAAACGATATCAATTGGATGTCTCCCGAGAAAATGCGTAAACTATTAAAAGAATCCGATAATTCTAATCAAATCCCATATAGTCAAAAAGATGAAATTTTCAGGTAGTTTTTTTTTCCTAGTTACTGTTTTAAATTTTATTTACAATTATCAACAATTTGTTGTCGTCATGATTGGTTAATTTTTTATTATAGTTTTGGAATGCTTATATGGGAATTAGCTTATCAAAAGATCCCTTATAGTAATATGAAATCAACTGATGTGATAACTCATGTTATGAAAGGCAATAGAGAAATTTGTAATAATTTTCTTGATCTAGAAAACAAAGATATTCATGAAAGATTTATAGATATCATTCAACATGGTAGGTTTTTTTAATCTGATATTTTAGACAACATTAATTACAAATTCTGATACTACAATTGTTTAACTGTTTTTAAGCATGGAAAGATATTCCAGAAGAAAGAATCAATGTGAATGCATTATATTCAAAGCTTATAGAATTGGTTTAATGGCTATGTTGGAATTTTCTCGGCTCTTTATATGTTTGATTAGGTTATTTAATCGGCATGATAATGAGCTGAACATTTTGTACTGTAGTAATTAACTTTTTTTTATTTTTCGCTATTGCGCCAAATTCAACGTAATGATAGTGGCAAATGGCACAGAGATG